CATAAAATGGCTTCATAAGTAATAACCATTATTAGTTAATAATTTTGGCCCAGGACATTTACCACTCCTGAGTCCTAATTTTGCCATCTACAGTTACATTAGTAAATTGGCCATCTACAGTTACATTGACAGTATGTAGGCTGGTGATCACAGATTCATATTTCAGCCAGAGAAGTGCAGAATAGCACTAATGGGGAGAAGTTCCCTCCTCTGCCCTCCCCGCAAGCCCTCAATACTGTGCTGTTACTCTTATCTCTTTATATTAACATTATCCATTTAAACAGTGTCTTTTTAAGTTGTGTATGTTCTGCCAAGGAAAGGATCAGAGTTTTTATCATTTCTCCAGCTATACCTGTAAGTTGCCTTGAATTAAGCAGGGTATTAACGAACATCTGAAAACAATTTTAATTCATTTTTAACCCAGGACTTAATACATGACCCACTATAGCAAGAGGGATTTAGGATGAATTTATCAGTCAGAGTTTAACTATCCAGAACTTCCAAAACTAACTGACTAAGGTGAATGAGAAGAGAAAGTTTTGGAAGGATAGGAAGTAGGGGAAGGATTGCTTGAAGAATAGGGCTGCTGACATCACAAAGTTCCTTTATTAATTTGGTTAAGTTGTCTATGGGCTCCATGAGTATTGTGGCCATTTGGCACTCACCTGTGTGTGCCTCCTGCCTTTAAGATACTTCCCTTCCTATCCCTTGATACAGACTTGAAGTCCCAAGGAAAGCATCCTATTGGCTGAGCCTAAATCTCAGTCTGTACTATAGCTGCTGCGGGACTGGGAGAGGGATCATTTCCCTTTCCTCAGAATTGGAGGCAGGGTTGCTGCGCTTAGTCAGGACACACACCTAGGAACAGTTCCCAGAGAGCCCAGAGAGGAAGAGGGTTTAGATCCTATGTTGCCTCATCAATCGAAATGTCTACTAATCTGACCAGAAGGATCTGAATCATAGCTCAAAAGGATTGCACTTCTTAGAATTTAAAATGTAAATAGGCAGATTCCTGGTGGTCTGAAATGGTTTAGACAATAATTCTTCCATGAGACAGAGATGGATTGAAATATAATACATTCCCACATGACCATCATCTCCTGAAAAGTTTCCTTCACATTTAAGTCTCAGTATAAGAAGTCTTGAGAACTACAGTCTAGAATTTCCTCCCTCCCTCCCTTCTTCCCTCCCACCCCTTTACTTTGCTGTAGAGAATTTTCTAAGAAGATGCATTTCCTCTCTCAAGTAGGCTGTCTCCTGTTTGTAACTGATACTATGCACAGCAGTACAGCATCTGTGTTTCTGGAAAATGATGTGTGAAAACAGTTTTCAAAAATGCACACTGTCTAGATAAAATGAAAACTAAGAATATGTTTGGTTATCACTTTGTAGAGCCTATTGAATTTGGCTGTGAATGGGAATCTAATTGTCATCCATTTCTAGTGGAGCCTTCCATAAACATTACATTTCCATTAAAAAGGGAATTCAGCGATAGTATCTTGGAGTTCACACAGAAATCATAAAAATAAATAATGACCAGTTGGTTGCTTAATAATTTACAGTTCCTTTTGATAGACCATTAGGGAAAATAAGCAAAGCTACAGGTATAGAAAATGTCATGATTTGTCTGTAAAAGAAACATCTTTACAGAAGTGTTACAAATAGTTTCCCAGTTTTGAATGATGACTATGATTATTCTCCCGTTCTTCATTTGTAGTCAGAGTAAGTCTTCTTCATCACCTGTTCTTGTTACCATGGGATTGGCATAAAAATGTTACCACTTACAGGGTTGAATTCAAGGATTGATGGTTCCACACAGCTTAGAGGGGCCAGGCTTAAGTGTACTTGTTGCTAAAAAATCTCTTCAATCCTTGAAACAATAGCAAGAACAAATAATGTGCTATTTTTGCAAACCCAGGAAACTTAATGTTCATGGTCAGAATCCCTCCTCCTCCTCAGCAATTTGAATGACCAATGTCCATTTGATGGGTAGGCCAGTCTTTTTAATGATTTTTAAATTTTATTTTGATGAGCAGTTATCAAAAGGTCTATCAAAGTCTATTCTAACTGTTCTAATTTGCACGTAATGTGGTAAAACACAAAAAGATATGAAATCAATATTCCTTAAAGCACAGTTCCAAATACTATCTCCCTTGATTGAATCTAAAATCTCTAACTCTCTACCTGATTAAGTCTAAAGTCCTATCTTGGGACTTCGCAGGTCTTTACCCTATAGTTTCTGCTTATCTTCTGACATTTCACTCTGCTTTTTTTCCCTCTAGTATATGTATGACATATTCAACTTTAGTGGTTCTTAATCCTGGCTGCATATCAGAATCACCTGGAGGACTTTAAAAAAATAATGCCAAAGGACCTCCCCTTGCTAATTGAATATGAATCTGGGGTGAATCACAGGCATCAATTTGCCACTGTTTTAACTTTTAACGATTTCTAACTCCTTATTTTGTTAGCTATTGTTACAATTAAACTCCAAGATTTCTTTGTATAAATCACTGAATGTTTTATTATGCACTCAAACCTTGTAGGTCAGAATATCTGACAGTATATAGTTCCAATTATCTTGGAGTTCATCTTGATGTCTGAGGTCTTAGCTAAGACAACTCAAATGGCTAGGAATGTCTCACAAAGCTGGAGGTAGAGATCATCTGGACACTTCTTTATTGACATTTCTGCTACTTAGACTGAGAGGATGCAAAGGCTCTGCTTAGCCAGACCTGTCAGTCAGGTGCCCATTTATGTTCCTTCACATAGCTGTGGTGACTCAGTGTAGCCAAACTTTGTACATGAAAGCTCAGGACTACAGAAGCAAATATTGCACTCCCCAAAAAAGAGGAATTGTAAAGCTGTTTTTTGCATTTAACCTCAGAGACACAATTTTTCAGATTCAAAGAGGAAAGGAAACTCACTTCTTTTTATTATTTATTTATTCTAGTTTGTTATATATGACAGCAAAATGTATTACAATTTATAAAACACATACAGAGCACAATTCTTCATATCTCTGGTTGTACACAATGTAGACTCATGCCATTTGTGTCTTCATACAGTAATGCTGTCCATCTCATTCCACCATTTTCCATACCCACATGCCCCTTCCCTTCCTTTTCCTTCCCTTTGCCCTATCTAGAGTTTGTCTAATCCTCCCATGCTCCCCCCAACCTATTATGAATATGCATACTTATATCAGAGAAAACATTCAGCATTTGTTTTTTTTTTTTTTGGGGGGGGGGGGTTGACTAACTTCACTTAGCATTATATTCTCCGTCTCCATCGATTTACCGGTACATGCCATGATTTTATTCTCTTTTATTGCTGAGTAAAATTCCATTGTGTATATATGCCACATTTTTTAAAAAAATCCATTCATTCACTGAAGGGCATCTAGGTTGACTTCACAGTTTAGCTATTGTGAATTGTGCTGCTGTAAATATTGTTGTGGCTGTGTCCCTGGCTATAGACCTTTAAGTCCCTTGGGTATAGACCAAGGAGTCGGGTAGCTGGTTCAAATGGTGGTTCCATTCCCAGTTTTACAAGAATCTCCATACTGCTAAGAAAATCCACTTCTTTATAGGAAGAGTGGCAATGAATTTGTAGCCACATTGTAAAGTTGGCACACACCCAAGTGATTCCAACATATACCTGAGTTAAGAACAAATGGAGGAGGAAGAGCATGAGAAGAAGATTAACATTAAACAGGGATGAGAGGTGGGAGGGAAAGGGAGAGAGAAGGGAAATTGCATGGAAATGGAAGGAGACCCTCAGGGTTATACAAAATTACATACAAGAGGAAGTGAGGGGAAAGGGAAAAAAAACAAGGGGGAGAAATGAATTACAGTAGATGGGGTAGAGAGAGAAGAGGGGAGGGGAGGGGAGGGAAGGGGGGATAGTAGAGGATAGGAAAGGCAGCAGAATACAACAGACACTAGTATGGCAATATGTAAATCAGTGGATGTGTAACTGATGTGATTCTGCAATCTGTATACGGTAAAAATGGGAGTTCATAACCCACTTGAATCAAAGTGTGAAATATGATATGTCAAGAACTATGTAATGTTTTGAACAACCAACAATAAAAATTTAAAAAAAAAAGAACAAATGGGTTCATTGTTTATGAACACTGAACAACATAGCAGGACTGAGTTGAATGAGGTGAATAAGAAAGATAGGATGCAAAATTTAAGAAGATAATCACTCTGCATCAGACAATCGCAGGGCAGGACCTCAGAACCACTATCTCCTTATATTTTGTGTCCAGTGTGCCTGGGTGGCATCACTCTTGACCTGATAGCACTGCCATATCTAAGCCTCAGAGCTCTTTAAGGTAAGCACCATCATGGTGACCATTTTACTGATAAGGAAGACTGAGGCTTGAAGATTTAGTAACTTGCTGGATTGCAAGATAACAAAGTAATTAAGACAAATTTGGACTCAGATCTGGCAGATTCAAAAACGGAATACCTAGATCCCAAGAAGAAATTAGTCATTCTTCCGTCATGCTATCCAGGACCCCACCTGCCTTTGGGGAGGGCAAGGCAGACAGCCCTGCTTGGACAAAAAGTCAAGTAGGCACAATATCTTTGAATCCCTTCGTGGTTTTCAAGGTGAGGTGAGTCTGGGGATGTCTTCCTCCTTTGGCTGCTTAGGACAAAAGTCCTTCTATCTATTGCTCCAGTCTGTCTCTCTATCGGGGCAACAGCCTTCTTGCTTTTATGTGAGGCTGTCGTGCGGTGGGCAGGGGCTTTTAGGGTTATCTCTGGTAGGTGGCTGACGGCCCTGCAAGGAAGAGCCCACTCAATGGCAAGGGGAGTTGCTCGTTGCTAAGTGCAGGGAGGAGTCCGTTCCTGGCACCGTCAGCGAGGGAAGGGGGCGGCGAGAGTGAGCGTTTGGAGCCAGGAGGCCGGAGGGAGGGAGGAGGAGACCCAGCGCAGAGACAGCGGAGGGAGGCGCGCGAGAGAGCAAGCTTGCACTCACTCGGATCCCAAGCCCGGGAGGCGCAGAAGCAGCTGCGGCCGCGCCCTAGTCCGAGTCCGTGCATCCGCCCAGCCCGGTCCCGCCCGCGGGCGTCAGGGCTCCCGAGGATGGAGGATTCCCGGGAGACATCGCCATCCTCCAACAACTCCTCCGAAGAGCTCAGCTCTGCCCTGCAGCTGTCCAAGGGCATGTCGATCTTCCTCGACGTAAGTACAGCTGGAAGGAGTTAGGTGGGCACTTGCCCAGCCTCACTCCACTTCCCCCGGGAATGGCGGGTGACTGGAGGGCTCAGGTGTTGACCAACTTTTTGCCCCCAGAACATGGATAAGAATGACCTTCTCTCCTCCGATCCACAGTCAACCCCCAAGGCAAATGCAAGAGAAAGGTCTGCCTTCAACTTGTGAAGGGGCTGTCCCAGACCTGCAACTTGGGATTTAACAACCCTTGATGAAATTCCAAAAGTTAGATTTCTCAACAGCCTGGGTTTCTGTAGGGGCTGAACTGTAAATGTAACAGTCTCCATTGGGGTGAATAGAACGTTTTAAAGAGCTATCAGATATGGGGTCCCATCTCATTTGTACTGTGCCCTATTTGCTGATAGGCAACCTCTCTCTCGTGCTCTAAACCAACCCCAGCAAGCTCTAGAAATTGCGAGGCCCCGGGGTTTTCTAGCAGCTCTCCTGGAAAACAATTATTTTGAACATATTTGTTTTCCATTATCCAGCGGTGGACAAGATCTCTTTCATGATCATCATTCTTTATTGTTTTTTTCACTGCCACTTTCTGTTCCCAACCCCCTTCCCTGATATCCCCCTTCCCTGACCCTCTCCAAGTTGTGATTACTATTATTATCTTCAGTCCTAGCTTTTGACTTGTTTTTCCTTTGGTCCTGTCTCTTGCTTGGGATTGATTTCCTTTCTCCATTTCTCTGATATGATGATCATTCCTTCTTTTCTTTCTGTGCTATTTTTTTTTCTGTCATCATGCTGTGGATTTCTATCTTTATAGCAGTTTTAGTTCTTATTGGTTTCTCAGTTTTACTGTGCTTTTCCTTCCTGCTGTTTCTCTTCTCTGTATTTTTCACCCTGCTGTCCGGCTCTTTTCTCTGCCTTTGGGTTTCCTGATCATCTTTCCATCCCTCAGTTGCCTGTGGGGCTCCTGGCTCTCCCTGTTCCTCAGTTGTCACATTCATGCCGTTCCCCCAGGTAGTGTCTGGCTCAGTGGGGAAAATTCTAGCTACTGCTTGTTTGATAGAAAATAGGCAAAGGGCATCTAGGAATATGGAATGTTCTTTCCCTTACCTTTTCCAAGCTATCATTTCTAATTAAAATTGAAATAAATCAGAGGTGGGCCAGAGGCCAAATGCATTTATTTGTAGAAAGATGAAAATATGAGGAAATCAAATTATTAGTATCATAATGGTGAGGCCAAGATAATGAAGTTAATGGTAGGAGGGGCAAGGAGCCCTCCCGACTTTATTTTGAATGGGTGAGCTAGGATATTTTCATGTGGCAGAGAAACTCCTATCAATACTTAAAAGTGGTTTAAAGCACATGAAAGAGTATTCAGCTGTGTGGGGAACAGCCTTCTCTGGTCATCAGCTCCTACTGGGGATCTAGGAACTTTGGGCCAGCCATCTTCTTCCCACCAAAAATAAGTGTCTGCTTCCTCTTTGTTGGCTCAATCAGATTGCTAAGGTCCTTATTCTTCCTCAGCATCTATCTCTGCTTGGCTTGAGTCAAGCAGATGGTGTTATTGGTGCTAATGGTTTCACCAGCTGATACTATTCCTTCATGTTCTACTATTCAGGACTACAAAGCCCTTGAGGAACTGAGATGGGAGAGGGGACAGGCAAGGTAGCTCATCTGAGAAGAAAATCCTCAGGGCAAGAGAAAGTTGGGACCGCTGAAGGTCATGTCAGTTATAGGCTGACAACTAAACTGTCTGCTGTGAAGTGGATTTGGAAGGCAAGTAGCTCCTCTGTTCTGAACTGATCTGTACTCTGCCCTCCAAGGATATCAAATGCTTCCTTGTGATTTTTCTTTAAAACAGCTAACAAATTGTGGTAATAATGTGGAGATGAATGAATCGAAACTGGATAGATGGGAACTCAGCCTCCCAGACACATATACACCAATCTCGGCTCAAGTCTTCAACTGCATTTTTTTTTTAAAAAAGAAGAAATTAAAATCTGATTTGTTATTACATATGCACAGTTGTTCCCATGTTCTAAAAACAAAACAGCATCAGTTCCTGAAGGAATTTGTCATTTATGAATAGAGCATCTTTACCTTCTCATATCTATTTCTAGAATTAAAAAAAAAATAAAAACATAAAACTGATTCCACACGAGAGGTGTTGACATGCTTCTTTGTCAGTAAAATGCTAGAGTCTACCCAGAAATAACTGCCATTGGATTTTGTCTGGAATAGAAAAGATTTTTGTTTACACATTTCTCTGAGTTATTTTGTGAAAAATCTAACACTTTGGTGAGATATGTGACATGAAAAAGGATATGTTATTTCGGGATTTTTTGAATTATTCATTTTTGGATCATGTTGCTGTTAGCAGAATAAAATGTGAAATATAAATATATCATTTTATTGGATTAGATTTAATATATTCTAGTAGCACTGCTAAGAAAGATTGCTTTTTAAATTCTATCCAGATCATAATAAATACGTGATAGATATTACCTATTCCAAAGGGGAACAGAAATGAAATTAGGGGGGTCTTTTGCATCACACAGACTAATTTCCAAATTAGAGGAAAACTGATTCCCAATGTTTATATTCCATTATCACTGGAATAATCAATCTTTTAGTAAGTGATTTAAACTCCTGCTGAGAATACTGTGAGTGACATGACTAGACATGTCCAGCTGGTTGAAAACTAGATGTGGACATTTGACAAGGAAATCAGAAAGACACTTAGCTCAACTCTTGACTCTTGTTTCATTTTCTTTATCTCTAAATCAGCAATAATAACGAGTCTGATACTTAGTTCCCAAAGTGATTGTGAATATGGAATAAGAATTGACAGTTTAGAAAAGTGCGAAAAAAAAAGATAAAATGTGCTATATAAATTTGAAATAATAGGGTCATTCCAGTGTTCCATGTTGAATACGCAAGCAGCAGTAGCTAAATCCACAAACAAATGCAAGGAACTATTTCTTTATAAATCTAATTTGTATGATTTTATCTCTCAAAAAATGACTGAATTGAGTATCAGTTTATCATGAGTCCTCTTGAATTTTCTAAAAGGTTTAGAAAATCCTGTGCTGGTACCAAGGTGTGCCAGGATACTATGTCTGTGCACTTGCTTGCGGCATGCCTGCCAGCCACAGAAGAGACCGTGACCTGAGTTTGGTGTGCAGCAACACTGAAGGACCAAGAGAGTAACAGTTGTTTTCTTTGTCCCCTAGTGTACTATCTTTTCCCAGGTGACTGCATTCCAAATAACAGAGAATAAACTTGAATTTAGAATACTAGGCTCTGAAGCATGTGGACCTTCTTTTGAGTCATTTCATTCATCAACTCTGCTACTGTGCAAAAGTAATATATCCCCCAAAGCAAGACAAGTTCCTAATGAAATCAGTTGCAATTCCACCCACCTGCTGCCACTTTCTTCTTCTAATGGTTTTCCTTTGACATCTTATTGGGAAGGTAGGGGCCCTTCCTTACTTCAGTGATGAGGCAGGAGTGAGGCTAGAGGTTGTGGAAGAGAGAGGTAGCTTCACTGTTTGTCTTCCATTGCTTCCCCATCTACATATGCCTACCAGTGTATATCCTGAACTCAAGACCCAGGGCTTGGTTGGTCAGGAACTTGAGAAAAATGTAGCAATAGTTTCTCCTCAAAAAGTTATTCAATTCTGAAGTCCTGTGCATTCTCATTTGTTTGAGAGGTGAGATGGACAGAGGACCACTAAAGCAGAGTTTTAGAATTTTGATACAGCCACACATCCTGCTCTCCTAGTCACACATGCATAATTGATTATTTAAGTGAGATTGTCCAGTTGGTAGAATGGCAGTTAATGTCACAATCATCTATCCTAATTGTCAAGGGAAATTATGCTAGGCAATGATGAAATTTGCCTTTTTTCCTACATAGGACCTACCCTATGCAAAAATTGAGGAGATGAAAACATATGTACTAAGTACCTTTTCTCCATCCATCTTCCATACTTATCTTCCTGCATCCTATCTCTGGGTGACTAGTGGACTGGTACCAAAACAACCTGCTGGATATTCAGACCTACACATCATGACTCATCTTCTAGGTTTTACCTTCTGGGTGGCACAGAGTGTTCTGGGTGACTCCTAACTCCCTGCCTACATCCCAGTTCCTCAGAAGTTCACCAGGTAACTGAGTAGTCCATCTCATTTTGAGTTTTAACCTGTTAACATGATATGAAGCACTTAGGAAATGTTAAGTTCGGTAAATGGTGATTCTGTTCATTTCTTATGCTTTCAAGATAATATTTACATTTTGACACCCACCTTTAATAATATAAAGTGAAGAACAAGGAATTTCAGTTAAGTCCATCAAAGAATATCTTTGGAGGTAAATAATCTACTTGATAATGGAATATAGCCAAAAGCAGAGGATTTCTTGTATAGAAACTTTAAACCTCATCATAATATTTAAATTTATTTGCTATGCCTCTAGTGACAGCAAACTGTAAGATTAGCTGACCCAGATGACTGTGACAGCATAACATAATGAACTTGATTCTCATCTGCACTACAGCTTTTATTAGTTTGTGGACTCCGAGGCAAAATTTGCAGCAGAAGACAGTTCTATTCATATTTAATTACAAGAACTATCTTAATAACACAAGCGCTGTCTTAATTTTGTCTTTAAGAAGCTGAATTCTATTTAAGGTTTGTTTTTTTTTTAATGAAACAAAATGATGGCAGTCTTGGACCCAATTCTCTGGTGTGTGGTTATTTCTATTCTAGCCTCTTCTAACTCCTGGAGACACAATAGAACTTGAAATAGAATCCTAGAGTACATCAAAAGTGAAGGATAATATGTGCTTCCTGTCTCCTGATGCAGCTAGGGCACTCTGGCTTTAGAGTAGAGGAAGAAGCTTGTCGTGATGGAGGAACAGATCCCCAAACTCCCACTAGCAATTACCTCCGTAGAGTAGAAAGAATATGGGTATCATTCTTCTCGAAATATATCTCTTACTACTAAAAGCAGTCTTCCTTCAATAATTAAATCAATTTAATAAAAATGAGGACCAATAGCTTATGCATATTGGTCAAAGTGACAGCTATCTGTCATTGGGAAAGTTTCATGGGTGAGAATTTTAGTAATAATCTTAGCATTTTATAATTAAACACACCGTGGTAGTGGTTAGATTTATCTGTACTTCATTTCTTTGAAATCAATGAATGCAAGGAGGAGGATGTTCTTATGTAGAAAGTGATAAGATAGACAACTTGGGAATAAAAATTACCATTCATGTTTTAAGCTGTCTACCAAAAGGCACTGATCTAATTAGAAAAAAAAAAGTTTTGATTATTTAATTATAACTACACATTATTCAGGGAAAAAAGTGATCATCAGGGGTGTTTTCCAGGTGATTAAAGTTTGTCTTTGCAATATGGTACAGGGACATGTTCTTTAGTTCTGCTATCATGTAGCTCTATATTATAACATCTAAATGGCTATCAGTAAATTTACTAGGGTTAATTTGATTGCAGCTAACAAACAAACAACCAACAAAAGCAATCCAAACCCAAAATGTTAAGATTTAAAAATATAGTGATTTTCTAGCTCCTATAATGAAAAGCAAATGTCTTCTCATCAGGGACTTGATAGGGGCTCAGAAAGGGCCATCAGGATCAAGTTTCTCTGAGTATCTGAACACTGCTTTCTTGGCTGTTAGTTATTTGCAAGTTACATGTTGTATTAATTTCCAAGGAGTACTGGAACAACCGCCACACAAGGGTGACTTAAACAACAGAACTTTCTCGTGGTTCTGGAGGCTGGACCACTCCAATATCTACCTCTGTCATCGGATAGCCTCTCTTCCCTCTGTCTCTGTGCCTCTGTGTCTCCTCGTAAGTTCACCAGTCATTGGATTTAGGGCACACCCCAACCCAATAATGCCTCACCTTGATTTGATGACATCAGCAAAGGCCCCATGTCTGAACAAGGTCACAGTCACAGGTACTGAGGGTTACAACTTTAATATTTGTTTTCAGGAGACACAACTCAACCTGCAGCTCACATGGTGACAAAATGACTACAGCAGTTCCTTACCTTATCTTCCCAAGTTCAAAGTCAGTAGAAAAGAAAGTACATCTCTCTTGTCACCATTGAAGCAAAACCGTGGCCTGTCATTCACTGGCCCTGAGTGCTTATGACTCAGCAATCACTGTGATCAGAGCATGTGAAACCCTGTTTGCCAGTCCAAAGTGATCTTCCCAGCCCTGGACTATGTGGGCCAATGCTGGAGGAAAGATCAGAAATCAGTTTCCTATACATCAAAAACAATTTAAAATAAATCCAAGATAATATAATTAATGCATACAGGTAGAGCAAGACATAGTATAGACATGCACGTTCCTATTTATCCATGATTTATTATTTTCTTTTTGTTTATTCCCAGTTTTATTGAGGTATGATTGATTTACATTAAAGTCTATATTTATAAACTACGAATCTGAAGGGTCTTGACATCTGTGAAACCATGGACATAATCAAGGTGATAACTATCTTTGTCACCCTCCAAATTCCCTTCTACCCTTTTATAATCCATCCCTGCCCACCCTGCCATTTGTAAGTGACCTTAATCTGCATTCTGTCACTAGTTTGCATTTTTTATAATTTCATATAAATGAATTTATACAGTAGATATTTTTTGTGACTAGGCTTTCTACTCAACCTAATTATTTTGAGGTTCATCCAAATATTTATATGTATCAATATCTCTTTTTTGGTTTACTAGTATTCCATTGTAAGGACAGACCACAGTTTATCCATTCACTTGTTTATGGACATTTGGGTTGTTTTCAGATTTTGGTTTTTATAAAGATCTCAGTTGGGAAATATTTACTCCAAAGTTGGAATTTCTTTTTGTTTAATAATAGATGAGGAAAATGTTCACTGCAATGCTTACTAAAAAAGGTGTTAAATTTCTTTTTCTTTTTTTTTTCAGATACTGAGGCGAGCAGACAAAAATGGTAAGACCTAAATACTACAGTTTCTATTTATTAATCTCATATTTTAGAATGCCTTATAAAGAATAATAGAGAAGGCGAAAAAACTCAGAAATTGACATATAAATGTGAGTTTCTTGTGCTAGTCACAATTTTAGGCAAGTTATGGTTCCAAATATTCATGAGAAGTTGGCAGAGGAATTTACATTTGACAGGAAGGCGGAATTTATGCCTTTGAAGTGAAGAGCCCTGTCATAATTGGGCTCTGGCATTTCCCTTTAATGCTTGAAAAAAAGTAATTTTACAGCAACAACAGCTTCTGTTCATCGAATGACTCCTGTGTGCCAAGCAGTGGGCTGGTTGCATCGTGTGCATTATGCATCAGTATTATTAAAATATAAAGCTGAGTCTTAAACCTAAGCCTGTTTGAAACTGAAGTCTACGCTTTTCACGCTTAACTTTATAGTGATCCTAAGAGTGCTACTGCATCCAAAGTGGTTGCTTGGGTGCAATGCTATATAGCATACATCCCATGTTCACTCTCCCATGTGAAGCGTAGGCACAAGGGTGATAAGCCATAGAGACAGAAAAGAGGACAAATCCAAAGTAAAAAATTCATTTGTCAATTTATTGACAGCTGCACAAAGTTCAGCAGTTATAAGCTGGCACAAGCAATATATTTTATTACTTTATTCCACTTTATTCACATAATCCCAAATTAGAGAAATTTATTCTGCTGCTATAGCTTATGTACTATAGTGTAGGTATATTATTGATGAGAGTTACTTGACAAATTTGGAATGCAAAGTCTTCCTTCCTTTCCTTGAAATCCCATTTATCAATGGGAAAGTTATAGTCAAATCCAGATTTGACAGTTTAAAGACAGTGGTTGTTGTCTAATTTGTCCTTAAGCAGCCAGATCAAGAAAAACTTGACTGACACTGTGCATCTTTCTACCCCAAAGAAAATACATTAATCTAAGATGCAATGAAGTAGAATCTCAAGTCCACATAATATTTAACTATGCCTGGCCGTCAGAATATTTTTTCAAATTATATTGTGGTAATTGAAATATTGCCGATTCAAAAGTAATTTTTATTTTTTTTTTCATTTGAAGCATTTGATAACTCTTTAAAACAGAAATAATGACACTATCATCTTGTCTTCTCATCTGTCCTTCCACCTTTTGCCTGACACCCTGTCTCGGTGATACCTAGAGTACAATGGCTCATCTGTAGGCCACTTGTCTTGTGCTTCAGCAGCTGTCGGCAGCTCAGAAATGCTTTATCTTTCTCCCCACCCAAGCTCCTGGTTCTCTCAAGATGTACCTTCATCTCTTTGGACCCTAAGACTCTAATTAAGGGCCACTCTTACCATTGTACCTGTCACTCTTCTTTCCATCGAAATTGTCATGATTCATAGTTACGATGAAAAGCAAAATTATCCTAGTCCGTAGTTAGGATAAAAAGCAAGTGAAAAATCAATTCAAATGATTTGTGGGCCTGTGATTACCTCCTGTGTTATGCTACACAGAGTCGTCACTTGCACGGGCAGCCCCCTGTCCCGTATTTCCTCCCATCTCCCCTTCCATCGGATGCCTCTCTCCTCCTTGCTACCTTTCCTCATGCCAAATAGTAATGTGCTATGAAAACTTAGCCCCACTCTGTTCTTACCTCTCACAATCATCACCATGAGTTCTGCTCAGCAGCCCATGGAAGCACTCTATTCCCTGAGCATCCCACCATCTGCCACACCTCTGTGATGCTGCCCTGCTTTGACCTTTTCCTGGTATGACATTCCACCCTCAGCTTGAGGATGCCTCTGAGTGGTTACACTTCTGCTCAGAAGGCTCCTTATCTGGAAGGACTCCCAGAGCCTTCATCAGGGCTCCACCCTCACTCTCTACACTTTTGCATGTATCGATTATTGCCCTTCTGATGGAAGACTGCAGTTTGCTGGAGATTCTACTTCTCTAAGCCAAATATGCCTCTCCAGGGCAAGGAACTCTCTTATGAGTAAATACTCTGCCCAGCCAGCACTAGATGTGCAACAGATGTTTGTTTAATAAATTATTAATGATTGAGAATATTCTTTTCCATTATCCTTCTCCCTTCTCTCTGTCCACTCTTCTTCCTGTTTTTTTTTTTATTACTTTTGGCATTATATTTATTTCCACATTTTACAAGTTCACAAAAGCAAATAACAAAAGCCTATGACAATCTTGAGTTTATATCAAATGGAAAATATAAATCCTGATCTAATTTGAAAACATTTCTTAGTCGTTTTTTTTGTTTGTTTGGATAAAAGTTCATTTTACTCCTAGAATTAAACGTTTGTCTATTCATTGTAGAAGATAACATAGAAGCAAGAGGCAAAATTGATTACTAGGCGAGATGCATGTTTTATTAGCTATACATTTATAGATTAGCTTTGAAACTGAATTGCAAAACTACTTACTTACAAATTAGAAAACTACTTAGTACAAAATTACTTTGTTGAATAACGTTTACAGGTTCATATGGAAACATTTTTAATCTTATTCATACTAGGGTGGCTTCTTAATAAGTTCACAATTCTTCAAATAGAAAATATAAAACACTTTTCACCTTAAAAGTGAATGAAGATTAAGCCAAATTTGCAAGGTCAAGATATGTAAAGATTTTACTTCATAGCCCCTTTCTGTTCTAAATTTGGTTAACTTCTTCCTGTTTTTAATCCCATCTATTCTACCTCCTTCTCTGTGTAGAGAGGGAGAGGAAGTCAAGCAGGCCCATGCCTAAATCCCAGCTATATCACCTAGTAACTACATGCATATCTTGGGGTTGTTATGAGTAATAGTGGAACAATATATGTAAAGTCTTTAGGAAAATATATGTAAAGTCTTCGGGGCAATGCCTGACACACTGTTAAGTGCTTAGTACTGAAAGTTTGAGCTGTTTTTTTTTGTTTTGTTTTGTTTTGTGTGTGTGTGTGTGCTGCAAAGGTTCTGTTATTTCTATTGCCAGTGGAGTTTAATGAGAAAAAGACATAAGGCTATTTACCATACAAGGAGAACCAAAAAGAGAAAAGGAGGGTAGATGATCTAATGTAAATGTGAAGAAAGTAAACACCTTCCTGTGCCATGTGTTCATTGTGCAAATAAACAGCTGTCACATGTATTTGATCTTTTGGTAACAGACCCTCCTGTCAGAGAATCCCTTGTGGAAAGCTTAATTGGTGGTGGACTAACGAAAGGAATTAGAGGCAATAAACAGTATGATAGTTACCCTGCCAGAGGACAGAGTTAGCATTTGGACTTCATCTGACCTAAGAGAGAAGCTGCTGGACAAATGAGGAGGAAATACATGATTTGTGATTAATTAATAATAATGATGCCTTGGAGAGGGGTTTTGTTGCGGGGAGCAGTTGGTTGTTTTTAAATCATAGGTTAGGATCCTAGATATAAAGATAGACCTGCAAATAGGATTGCTCAGGGGAGATGCTGGCACTTTGATCTCAAGAGTGCAGAATTAAACCTAGAAATGCAAAACTCCTGAAAAGGCTTCCTTCACAAAGACTGAATGAAAATAGAAATGGCACATTGTTATTTTTTAAAAATTTGCAGAAATGTTTTTAAATTTTATTTTAAAATGTTTAACTAGCACACTAAGATTATATATATTCAAGGTATACAATGTGATGTCCTAAATATGCATTGTGCAATGATTACCACGATCAAACTAATTGACACATCCATCTGGATGCATGCTGGACATCACATCCCCAGAACTTGTTCATCTCATTACTGAAAGTTAGTATCCCTGGACCAGCATCTCCCCATTGCTCCCACTCCAGCTCCTGGCATCCACCACTCTACTTTCCACTCCTTTGAGTTAGACTTTTTCAGATTCTGCATATAAGTGAGATCATACAGTATTTTTCTTTCTATGTCTGTGCCAAAGGATTTTTTTAGCCTTTATAAAAGGCAAAATGAAAAGGCTCGTAGTAGTGAATAACACGTCAGATGCCTCTTGCTCTTACTCGGTTCTACTGTTATTCTTGTCAGCAGACAGGTGGGCTATATGGGTGGTGCTTTTGATCCTTGTGTCACGACTGATCTCTTTAAGGGGCTCAGTTCTTCTCTGGTCTTTAACCCAGTCTAGCAGCCTGTACATTGTTCTTCTCTGAGGGCAAAGATGTCCGGTCCAAAATGCCACCACCACACTCATAAATATTTGTGAATATTTGTAAGAAGCACATAACCAATAATTTGACCTTAAAAATTTTGAAACAAACATATGTATTCCTTAATCAAACTAAGCTGTGTTGTTGTGTATCTATTGTTTATTAATCAAAATATTGGCCAAAATTTATGGAGGGCTTTATATGGGCCAGGTCCCATCTAAGGTGCTTGATATACATTGTTTTAATCAGTATGAAAAGTCTTTAAAATGGACAGTTTAGAGCAGTGGGAACAACACAGGATTTGAGATCAAACAAGTCCCAGTGTCCCAGCTCTGCCACAGTTAGCTTTGTAACACTGGACAGGTTACTCAACTTCCTTGTGCCTCAGTTTCCTCATCTGTGAAAGAAGGATAATAATACTACTTCTTTCATAAAGTTGCATTGAGAATTAAAAGGGATTGTGCCTCTAAATCATTTATTCTGATTTCATACATAATAATAATTGTTCAGTATTTGCAGCTATTTTATTAATATCCTCATCTTTAAATGGAGTAAATGAAGCTAGAGAAGTTATATATTTGTCACATATCGTTCTCAGCAGAACCAATATTGCAAACCCAGGTCTCTCTGACTCCAAATTGATCTTTTCACTTTGTTGTGTATGAATATATGTGTATGTTTCAGTCTGCAAAAACATAGAAATAATTGTCCTTGATTTGTAAATATCTTGCAGATGATGTTCTGGTTCCCCAATACAGAGTTAATTTATGGGTTTAATAAACTAAATGCATCCTTGGTCATCAGAAGGAATTATGATTGAATGACTAACATCTCCAAAAAATAATTTTAGCAATAAAAAC